CTAGAAACACCACTTCTTTGCGATTTCCAATAGAATCCAGCAGCATAGTCCGTTTCTCTAAAAATATATCTTTTTTGCAACACTTGCATCGTCTGTTGGAGCACAAATTCCTATATAAAAACATTGCGTCCTCTTAGTACAAGTCGAGACATGATATTCTCTCATCAATTGCTCCCAGCTATGAATATTTTTCTGCAATCTTTTATGTACAGCTATGGACACTCCTGCTCTTGCTCGCTTTTCTTTTCCCACTCACCAAAAAGTGAACAGTTTCCTTTCATTTTCATTTACCTTCTTTTTTGTTTCACTCAACACTATTATATACCGTTAAACTCCTCTTTTGCTTCAAAACGTTCATTTTACTTTAGTGCTTAAACCTTGAACATTCCAGCATCCAAAATTCATAGACCATTTTCTTTGCCTTTGTCGACGTCCTGAGTTAATCCGAGGCTCATTTCCATTGCAAGTTTGAGCGGCTTTTTTTTAATTTTCCGAGTATGGGGGTGCTAGCCACATGCCTCAACCCCCTTCCAGGAGATAATTTTCTTTTAGGGTTTTCTTCCCTTAGATTGAGTGTCTTCCAAGACTCCGGAGCTCAATTTACCCCTATTTGAAGCACTTCTGCTTCTGAACAGGAAAAAGGGAATGGTAAGGATACACCTAACGTTAGAAAACGGAAGCCTCTGAGCTACTCAATCCACCCATTGGCTCCCGGGGTTCGGGAAAGAATTTTAGGTAAGAAGGATATCTTACAGTTACGGACAGCGGTCAGCCACTCCTTTGTAGGTAAGAGAAACCAGGCTAATTGCTGCATTCCCCACCCACCGGTAAGGGCGTGCAGGGCGATGGGGTCGCTACATCCCTACGCCTGATGTGTCCTTTGCGGTTACCATAAATAAATCACAAGGACAGTCATTAGACGTTTGTGGAATCAACTTAGGTTCCCAGTTCGCGCATGGACAATTATATGTCGCGTGTTCGCGCGCCGAAAAACCGTCTTCTTTGTTTATTTACGCACCACAAAACAAAACAAAACCAAAAATATAGTTTATGAGAAAGCTTTAAATTGATTAACAGACTGTATCATAACAGTGCGTGTCTGTAAATATCAAATTTAAATCTTATAAATAGCCAGTATTTCAGGAAAACTCTGTTTTGTAAGTAAGCAACATAATGTGTCGAAAATAATAATAAAACTTCATGCTTTATTCAAAAAATGTTTTTTTATTAAATACGGATTAGATTTGTTTGTTTTAAAATCATTTTATACGAAAGTTTAAGTCTTTTATTTATCGTTTAGGCAGTACGAAGTCTGCCGGGTCAGCTAGTATAAAATATATTTTTGCAAGTTAAATACTCTTCCCAGTTGGTTTGTAAATAGTCAAAACTTTTGCTTTAAACGCCGCTTGCAGAATAATTAAAAAACATTTAGAATTAATTGTTACTGGCGGATCAGAATCTTACTAATTCTTAAAGCTTCTGTATATTTATTGATGAAATGGCTCAGAAAATATATTCAGAACTAAATTTTTTGGTGCTAATAGATTGTACAGTAGATTGAGTGGTGTCCACAGACGCACGGACGGACAGACACACAGAGGAACAGATGGATAGACGGACGTTTTGAGGAAAACCACTTTTTTGGTATCAGGAGATCCCAAAGCGCGAATTTCCGTTGAAAAATCGACATCGATTTTCCACAGCATTACATCACTGTTGCCTATACTACGTATATTCTTCCGTATATACGTACGTATACGGGAAAGTAAAAAACATGCTTTATTGCAGTACAATATAAAAAATATATTTATTGATGAAATAAACTAAAATGAAATAAAATGAATGATAAGATGAATAAAAACAATTTTGTTTTTAATTCACTTAGGTTTATCGATATTCAACAACTGTCGAATTGTGAATGTACCCGGTCTTCAATTAGAAATTTCACTATAAAAACCACTGCGCTACAGTCATTCGGATTAAACTACTCACTCAACACTCTTTGTACTAAAGAAAATCAATATAAAACAATTTATCTTAAAACCAGTAGCCAAAACTCCCAAAAATTACTTACTGATCGTAAAGTGATGATGCTGCAGTACGTGTTTCTAATCAATATTATAGTACTTGTTACAAAATAGTGTTAGGAAGTCTTTGGTCCATCAATAAGCATACTTTCCAGAATTTTTTGAATTTTGTCGGTAAACAGCGTTTGCAAAATGTTGGGCTATTTTGAAAACAACTGGGATGTGTAATTAATTTAAACAAATTATTTTTAGTACAATGTGTCTAGTGTAGGAACGTGTGCAAACATTTCCGTATTCCGACGATTAGTTTTGTTTGTGTGATTTTTACTTTCCCGTTTACAAACGTATATATGGAGTAATCAACCTAGTATAGGGAAAGCTATGTAATGCCGAGGAAAATCGATTTCTCGATTTCAACGTAAATACCCATTTTTGGGTACCGTGATACCGAAAAAGTATTTTTTTCGAAACTTCCGTCGATCTGTTTGCCCGTCCGTCCGACTGTCCGTTCGTCCGTCCGTCAGCCTGAACACCACTATCACCTAAATCATACGTACGATTTTTTCCAAAGTAGATATCCTCCTATCAATCTGGCTCCACTCGACGGGCCGCAATTTTAAAAAACCTTTCTTGAAAATTCGGGGGTACTTTACATGAAGCCCTCCGGAGCTATAAGTAAAAGGAATTCCAAAGGTATTTCAAGCGTTGCAAAATTGTCAAACCAAGTGGTATTTTTCTCCAGACATGATTTGCAAAATAAGCTAATGGCCCTAGTACAAGCACTTAAAATTAACGTCAGATATTAGATCCTTCGCGTTGATGTAATAAAACTAATACTAATATTGTACGACATTAGAAAGCATTTTCTGCATAATACATCATATCAGTTCGATTACGAGTGGTGCCCCGCAGTCGTGATGTCAAGAGCTTTCTATCTCTCCCAGAGTACCTGGCAACACTGCCTCGGTTAGCAAATAATGGCTACGAGTTTTGGTCGTCGATATCAGCAACTATTTCACTATTATTGTCTGAAAACATCTGAACGACACTTGCGGAATATTTCTGTTCTTCCCTTCCAGTTGATTATATTTCCCTTCTAGTTCTTTTACCCTACTTGGTAAATAAAAATTTCCATGCCGAATTCAGATGTGCCGATGACAAATTCTGAAATATATTGATCCGAATGTTGGAAAGAGCTAGTCATTCTCCATCTTGTGATTTGCACGTGAGCAGAAACGTCAAGCGTGCGCACACGTACAACACTCCCTCATAGTCGAGTGTTTACAGCTTGCCTTGAGCTGGGAGCTGCTGGCGAATATTAAGTAGAAACCTACGTAAGCCGACTGGTTTTTGCCCAAAATCGATTTTTCAGTACCAAGGATACACAAAATATGGATTATTGATAGACCACGTGTGTGAGGATTTCTTTCTAAATTTAGCAATTGGAATTATCCACTTTTGCGTTACCAGGGTCCGGTAATAAGAATTTTTCGGCCGAAAATTCACATCTCCTTCCCGAACATTACATAACTTTCTCTTCTTAAGAAGTACCTTCTGAAAGGTGAGAAAGTAAAAAGATGATGATCTCCCCCCATTATTACTAACTTATGCAAAATGTTTGCCTGCTTCCTTTTTTAAGTGTCCTTGCCACTTTATTCGGGCACGAGACACGTGATCCGGCGGTCGTTCTCGCATCGAAGCAGGACATGAAACAAACCGCAATAAGATTTCACAACCACACACACGATGCATAACCAAACAAAAAATGGCGCTGTTTGTTCTTCAGATACTTCGCGCTGGAAGATTTCATTTTTTCGTAATAAGTTTCAGTAACTGAGCCATAATATCAGAATTTGAAGCTTCTGATTGAATAACTGAACCCCATCTCCCCAGACACTCGCTAGCTATCAAGTAGGGAAGGGAGAGATATTATTCGGACAATACCGCACATCTCGGGCGACCAGTCGAACGCTTAGGGCTTTTTCAGACTGGAGGGGTGCCTCAGTGAGGCGACACCGGGGGGAATACCTCAAGCCCTAGTCTAGGTCGGCGCTGTATTTCACATCCGCGAAGGAGAGAAACACAGACACCGACAGTCTTAATTGTTGATTTAATAGTTGTACTTGAATTTTTTAATGAATTCATTCGAGGAAGAATGAATTTCACATTGCATGAAATGAGGCTTACCGGACCACCTTCGTCAGCAATTCGTGCTCCTATGTGCAGGTGGTCGTGGGAGATGTAGCGAAAGAGACAGGAGAGGACGCCGTCAACAAGCTGCAGGCGCAATTCGGCTTGGAACGCGCTATCTTCGTGCACGTGGATGTTCGTAGCAAGGAGCAAGTTGAAGGTAATATAGCTAGGAATGGCTGATCACCGTTGGACACTGTCTTTCAATCAAACGCTTTTCCGCTTTCCTCATTTGGAGGTTATTTTAGAAATCCCGAGTGTATACCATTTAATGTGAGTACAACTAGAATTGATTTTGCTCTGGAATTAATGTTTAAATTGTATGTAATACTAATATACTGCATAATAGTATTTCATTGTATCTTTAGAGTTGTTGTTTTTTTCGATAATTTAGAATGAAAACAAGTTTCAATTAAATTCTCATGGGATGTTCCAGATGCTTTCGTCAGCACAAAGCAGTATTTTAAGAAAATAGATGTTTTTATAAATAGTGCTGGAATTCTTAATGACATGCAATGGGAATTAGAAGTGGACATCAATTTCGTAAGTAATCTTCATACAGAATTATTTTCTACTATTATATAAAACAAGTCAATGATTGCGTGATACTAATGCAGGAAATTACGATCCTCGGAATGTTTAAAGACAACCAAACATTCTTCCATTAGAACAGAACATTTCTAAATTCTGCATCAAATTTGACTCAACACATTTTGTGACTAAACGCGGCCACATCCTCAAATAAGTCTTCAAGAAAAGCCAAAAATACTCGTATGAAAAATATTCAATTTAACTCGAAACACCTCAACTACAACATATGTCTTGTAAAAACAAAAGCATCGACCCAAATACGAGGTATCTCAATAGATCAATCTCTAGTGTTGGAAATAGAATGCCTCCCCCAAAATGTTTTTACAATATCATTATTTTTTATGCATTATTTTCTGCAACTTGTGCATTCTGCATTTATTTCATTTCTGCATTATTTCTGCCTGCCATTTATTCGCATTTTGTGCATTTGTGCATTTGTGCATTTGTGGCATTTGTGCATTTGGTGCATTTGTGCATTTGTGCATTTGTGCATTTGTGCTTTGTGCATCTTGTGCAATTTGTGCATCTTGTGCATTTGTGCATTTGTGCATTTGTCATTTGTGCATTTTGTGCATTTGTGCATCTTGTGGCATTTGTGCATTTGTGCATTCTGTGCAGTTGTGGCATTTGTGCATTTGTGCATTTGTGGCATTTTGTGGCATTGTGCATTTTTGCATTTTGCATTGTGCAATTGTGCATTTGGCATCTTGTGCATTTGTGCATTTGTGCATTTGTGCAATTTGTGCATTTTGTGCATTTGTGGCATTTGTGCATTTGTGCAATTGGTGCATTTGTGACATTTGTGCATTTGTGCATTGTGCAATTTTGTTGCATTTGTGCATTTGTCATTTGTGCAATTTGTGCATTGTGCATTGTGCATTTGTGCAAATTTGTGCATTGTGCCATTTGTGGCATTTATGCCCAATTTTAAATGCATTTGTGCATTTGTGGCATTGTGCATTTGTTGCATTTGTGCATTTGTGCATTTGGTGCATTTGTGCATTTGTGCATTTGTGCATTTGGGTGCATTTGTGCATTTATGTATTTATTTACTTATCGTATGGGAACTATTTGCCGGGGGAGATCGGCCCTTAGTCAGTTGTTCCGCACCGAGTTTTCCGCCTCCAGCTTCCTTGCCAGCCTACCCCGGACGCGGGTCTTTGGGACCCGAGCAGGTGCGCCTTGCGGGCGAACCCGTAAATGCGTCTGGGAGTTGACTCTCTTTCTCCGCCAGATGTCAGTCTCAGTTAACTATATCCGAGCTGACTGTTAGGGAGAAAGTGAGATCTAGTGAGGGCGGGATGTTGCGAGAGGGATTTAATTTTGTCGGGCGCATCGTCAGGGTATTTTACTTGACACAAATGTGACATGGCTACTGAGGATTTTCCGTCCTTCCTTGAAAATTCGAGCACCTCGGCCGGGATCGAACCCGCACACTGGGGGTTCAGAGGTCCAATAACCCCATTTCTGTACTAAAAGTGTATTTCATTATCTTTAACGATTCTGAGGATACCACTGTCTTACAGCTCTTCAACCATTGTTTTCTAGATTGCCATTCATCAATTTTTACTTCAATTACTTTCTTCAAACCTGCAATTCACTTAGATGATGTTAATAATGTAGCAGGTAATTGCATTAACGAAATCACAAATCTCTTTTGCAACATATATAAAATTATTCGTCAAATTATTATTATTATTATTATTATTATTATTATTATTATGAAAATGAGATGATCATTCAATCGATGAATCTTTTTAATTTATTATTGAATTATTAAAAAAAAATTAAAAAAACTATTTTTATTTCATCTCTCCACCCTCAAAATAACTTCCACAAATCATCAGTAAATGTATTGTGTTTATTTATTACTAAAATATTTTTTTTACAGAACGGCATCATCCGAGGAACGCTTGCAGCCTGGAATCACATGGGCAAGCATGAAGGAGGGAGAGGTGGAACTGTCATCAACATAGCCTCACAACTCGGTCTCGAAGCGTTTGCCGGATCGCCCATCTATTGTGCCACAAAGCACGGCGTCATCGGATTTAGCCGCTCCTGTGGGGTGCGTAGCGAACTGAATGGAAAGAAGCTTTTGAAAGATGCCAAAGCAAATAAACATCCATTATGTTCTTGTCAAATATCCGCACACCAGCAATATAAGGAAACGTGGTAGTGATCTGGTCGCGTCCTAAAGATGTTATAATAATAATAATAATAATAATAATAATAATAATAGTAATAATGGTACAATTATAACCATAGGAACAACATAACAACTATAAGACTAACAATAATAGTAAAATAATAATAATAATAATAATAATAATAATAATAATAATAATAATGATAATAATGATAATACTATAACAACTGACTGATTAAAATAACATCCAATTACCTCAAGAGAAACAAGCTTCTATAATCTAACTCCGCACTGAATGTTCAATTAAGACCGCACTGCACTAGCCCTGCACTGCACTTCAGTTCACAATGACCTTTAAATCACTTCCTTTACTTAGTAATACCCTAAATTAATTTCCTAATGTTTCCAGGAAGGGGTTCAAAGGTTTTTGCAGGCAAATCTATTCCATTCTTTTATCGTTCGATTTGTGAAAGATAATTTCCCGGCATCTGTCCTCTGCGGCCTTAAATTTATTTTGTGCCTGTGATCCGTCCTACTGATGTATGTAGGCATGCTTAACAGCCAATTAATTTCTTTCCAAGCTGGATGAACGCTATAAGCTTAATACAAAGCGCAGAGCCTTGCTTCTGATCGAGTGAATCCCACTATGCCATTTTCTTGTCCTTGAAAGTACATTTAGCTGCCCTACGCTCAATCCTTTCCAAATTTTTACTCCGTATAATTTTGTGCGGATCCCAAACAATTGTTCCACATTCCATTATCGGACGAACAAGCGATAAATTAGCAATTTTCTTCGCGTTTTCCATACTCGTTTTTAAGGTGCGCAATACAAAGTGAAGAGATCTCCAGGATTTCCCTATAACAAAATCTACGTCACTTTTCCAGCTTAATTTACTATCGAAATGGATTCCTAGGTACATGCATCAGGAAACTGTTGGAATAATGTTATTTAAACGGTAATTTGTTTCTCTGGAATTATGACACCTGCTAAAAGTGATGGTTTTGCTTTTGGAGCTATTTATGGTCATTCCATTATTTTCCGTCAAGTAATATAACGCATCAAGATCCCGTTGCAGCATTTCTTCATCTTCTTTCGAATCCATACTGCGATATATTATGCAATCGTCTGCAAATTACCGATGATTTGAAATTATGTGCGCAGGGAGATTATTGGCGAACGCTGGAAATAGAAGAGGGCCAATGACACTCCCCTGCGGTACTCCTGACGTAACGCTTGCCCCGGTAGAAAGCTCATGGCCTATTCGGATTTCTGTCACGCAGAAATACTAATCCACGCCACCACCCTGAAATCGATGTCTCAATTCATTAATTTCTGTATAATCCGATCGTGGGGAACAAACGCTTTGGCAAAATTCATAACTATTGCGTATACTCCTCCGCCCGCGTCAATTTCATCAGCTAGATCCTGGAAGAGCGTGACTACCTGACTTTTGCATGAATAACCACTTCTGAATCCGTGTTGGCCACAATAGAGCAATTTTTTTAAATTTTCCATTCTGCTTAATGTAACTCGCAACTTGATGCTCCATAAGTTTGCAGTCCACTGACGTAAGACTTACCGGCCGATAATTACTTAATATAGTTTTGTTTTAATGTAGTTTTAGTTAATATAGTATTACTTAATGTAGTTTTTTTAAAAATTGGTACGACAAAAGCTAATTTCCAATCTTCGGGTGCTTTAGAATAGTTTATGGACACGTGAAATTAGTTTTACAGTAATATTGTCTCTCCTCCTATTTAATTACGTGCGTGGAAAGTCGTCTGACACCTTGACGTACCATTTTCCATAGATTTTACTTATTTCCGTAGAACGTTCACTTCAATATTAAAAAACTGAATTGTAACCGAAGACCCCTGAATTACTGAATGGTTTGTATAGCGAAAACCGAACTGAAATACTTATTAAACGCATTACTTTTTGCCCGATCGTTAGTAATGATCGCGTTTCCGTTTTCACGAACAACTGGGATACCCTCTTTATTTCCCTTCCTTTTACATATTTATAAAATCCTGTTTAGTTATTTCTCTTCCCATCTCTAATGTTCTTTAAATATGTCTCCTGAGCAATTTTCTTTTCTCGCTCCAATTCTTTTGAACTATTTCGAACAATATTCATATGTTCGCTACTGCGTTTTCTGTTATTGAATGCCTTTCTCGTTATCCTCATCATTCGACTAATTTTTGCAGTGTAGTATTCTGGATCCGGATTATTTTTTAAAATTTTGCATGGAACAAACCTTTGCAAAGCTTGTCTTTGAACACGCTCTATTTTTCTTCCATACCTCCCTCGGTTCTCAGAAAGCGGTAGTATTGTTCGCTAAAAAACCTTGAAGCTGCTCTAAATTTGTTTTCTTGTATTGCAGTACTTTTAGTCCTACCGTGATGCCTTTTCTTGAAATATTTTCGTCTACTTCAAGAAGAACCGCTTTGTAATCAACAACTTCACAAGATATATTCTGCGACTGTATCGATTCCTTCACAAGGAGCACAAGGGAGCACGACAAGTAAGAGCCAAAACCTGGAGCTCATTTTCTTTTGCACGTAATTTACATTACACGAGAGTGAATGGAAGTGCGAAAATTTGCAGCCTATCGTCCGATGAAAATAGATTCTATTACACGGGAGCAAATATGTCTTGTTAACAAATTTTGGTAAAAACTCTCGTTGCTGATTTTATTTACAACTCAATTTGATAGAGTATACTTCAGTTAAACGTAAATCACCATCATACGTCACACAGAGTTGTTACGTTTTTGTCACTAAATAAGTAAATATACAAAATCTGGTATCTAAGAGACAACGCACGTGACTACGTGACCAGTGTTGAGAGTTCATACGGCACATAACATTTTATGTTTATCCTTCGCCTGAAGGTATTCCCTGTGAATGAAACAAGCATTCCCCGAAAGCGGTGAATTTCTAGGAACACTCTTAATAACAGGATAATAGAAACTTTAGAAAAATAAAACCCTGAGATATCTTAGCATTGTGATCACGTATAATTAAAAATATAAATATGAAAATGTAATATAAAAGTAAGAGTTTTATTTAAGACAAAAACGAAAAAATAACTGAACTAGCCTATATTAACATAAATTAGGATAAATAAAAAGAAGGAAGAAAAGGGAATAATTTTTCAAAAGAGTGCTGTAGTACTGAAGTTGGAACAAAATACTCGTATATGTAATGATTATAAACTTCCTACAATTTAAGTTATAGTTTTAGTGAATCTTTAACTTCCATTTTTGAAATTATTCCTTGTGTGACATATAAGCAACTACTTTTTATTTGTACTTATCAAATAAATAAAATTGGAGTGTGTTTGTCATTTCACCATAACTACCATTTTAGGGTCCTGTGTGCTTTTTTAGATGATATAGAATTTAATACAATTTTACAATTGTTGTATACCAGTCTTAATCATTCAGATGTAGATGTGTAATTTGGTTTTAATATTGAGCGAATTAGAGTATTAAACAGGAAGCAATTGATGCCAAACGTTGTTTGATAATGTAATTATATATATATATATATATATATATATATATATATATATCAATAGGTCTCTACGAGCTAAGAACTTACCAGAAAGCGTCTCACCCTTGCCGCCATGTGTTCAGGGTACATTTGATTAAGCACTTAGCCATCCCTACGCCGTATCCAGATCCTCTCAACCTGAGCATTGAGCTTTCTCATCGTCACAAGCGCACAAGCATACGTGGAACGTTGCAAGAAATGGCGACTTAATTTTTGCTGCGATCGGGAGTAGAATCCCGGGTTGCGCCGTGGAAAGCGAGCGCGCTAACCAACGGGCCACCGACAGCCACTGCTGATTTAATTAGGTTGATAATATTATTTCTTCTGTAGAGTCTTTTATACATTAACACACCCAAATATTATATGGACTCCGGGGAACCACGCCATGGTTGTTGGTTCATTCCGATACAATAGAGGAGGTAGATTAGTGAAAAGCCTTAAAAATAGCTTTACATTTAGATACGATGAGTTTGATGTTCCAATTTGCAAGCAGAAGTTCAAACAAGATTTAAGGGATGTATTCAAAAATTAAAATAAAATAAATATAATAAATTAAAATAAATTAAATATTGTTGGTAGGGCAGGGCAGGGCAGAAGTAGGACAGAGCTTCGACGGTGGCAAGGAGCAAGGAGCAAGGTGGGATTGGGCAGTGTGGAGTAGAGCAGGGCACGATTTGGTGGGATTTAAGTTGGGAGGTATAATTCATTCATTGCAGCAAAAAAGAGGTAATTTCAGCTAAACACAAAACATGAGTGTGTTACACTTTTTTCGGATTATCCAAAACAACAGCTGGGTGAATCGAGGGAATTTGCAATGCCTGTCTTGTAACCATTTTGCAGGAGCCTTATCACGTCCGCCGAACTGGTGTACGGGTGATTACAGTTTGTCCTGCATTGACACAAACACCACTGATCGACGAAACGAGTGAACTGAAGCAACTGACAGAGGACATGAAGACTGAGAGCTATCGAGCCATGAGCACATTTCCTACCCAAAAGTGAGTACTTACCCAAATGTGAGCAAGAATCTTGACAACACTGTAATATATATATATATATATATATATATATATATACGCACACGCACACTTCTAAAATGTTCTTAGAGCATTTTGATAAAATTTAATTTAATCAAACTAATGGTCTCATGTCTAGTACATCTTGTTCTGAAATAAAAATATTTTAACTGTAAATAAATACTTATTGAAAAGCAGATACCAAAAAATTTATTGTATAATATATTGCGAGTTATAACTCTCCACTAGGTTTCTCATAAAATTACTAATTTATTTCTCTACTGTTTTGTCTTCTATAATGATATTTGAAAAATCTGTTAATTATATTTGACTTAATCGGCTCCACGCTGGAAAAGCCATTAGAAACTAATCTTATAACTCTCATGAATATTTAGTAATTATATCAATTATAACCTTTGCTATCAATGCTAATATTTATATCTAGTCTGTTCAAAAAATACGCGGAATGTTTGAATTGTAGTCCTCCATTTGGATCCAGAGGAGTCAGCTTGATGCCGCTAGCTTTGCTCAGATCTGCTAATTATGAAGTAATTTTTCGATTGATGATATCTTCATTTGTTTATTAACTACGCGATTTCTAGTGAAGTGCGATTTTTTCGTTTGACGGATTTCAAAATGAATGATCTAAAAGAGCAGCGAGTTGCTGTGCAATTTTGTGCCAAACTAGGAAAATCTGCGACAGAAAGTTTTGCTATGCTTAACACAGCTTACGGAAATGTTGCTATGAAACGTACTGCATGTTTCAAGTGACATGAACGTTTTAAAGATGGTCAACAGTCCATTGAAGATGAGCGTCCTGGACGACCCGCACGTCGGCAAAATCAACACCTTGGTGCGGGAAAATGGACGTCTAATTGCCTGGGAGCTTTCTGAAAAGTGTGGGATATCATATGGATATCGTCACGAGGTTTAGGCTGAGAAATTGAAGATGCACCGCGTTGCTGCCAAATTTATGCCACGCCTCATGACGGAGGAACAAAAAGCCATCGTGTCCAGCTTTGTCAGGAACTGCTTGATCGTTCTGAAGAAGATAAAAATGTCTTGTCGAAGATTGTAACAGATGATGAATCATGGGTTTATGGCTATGACATTGAAACAATGGTTCAATCGTCCCAGTGGACGGGTAAAACATCCTCCAGACCCCAAAACGCTCGCGAATTTCGGTTCAAGTTCGAGATGATACGGACAGAGTGTTTTTATTCTCAGAGTGTTGTTCACCAGAAGACTCCACAGTGAACCAGATATACTATTCCGAAGTTCTGAAGGACGCCATCCGTGGAAGACCAGAAATGTGGAGACGTTGCGACAACGCTGCAGCTCATTCATCCCTTAGAACTTGTGTTTTTCACCAAACACAAAGTCAGTGTCCCCCCCCTACTCATCTGATCTTGCTCCCAGTGACTTCTTGTTCCACAAACTCAAAAGACCCCTGAAAGGAAGAAGATTTGAGACGATTCCAGAGATTATGGCCAATGCGGCGAAGGAGCTGAGGGACACTATATAAGAAGAGAACCAGCACTGTTTCAACAAATGGAAACACCGTTAGGACAAGATTGTGCTCTGGGAAGGAGAGTACTTTGAAGAGGATCCAGTCTTGTAAGTAAAGTACATTTTGTTTTATGACGTCTGTTCGCGTATCTTTTGAACAGCCGTCGTATTTATATGACTCTGTTGCTCTTCTCTGCGCACGTCCTTATTTAATAATCAAATATTTTATTACGATTACTTTTAATATTTTCTCACTCATCGGTGTCGACATACGACATACTACAACTTACCTTGACACAGAGACTGTACAGATCAGCGATTTCTAGAAGTTCTGATAGTTTAAACAATTCTTTGACTGATGACAGCTTTGTTTATCAGCATTGTTTTCAAATAATAAACAAAATATTTATTTATAAATCAAACAATAATTCTTAATGATCTCATTATTTGGCTATTATTTAGATAATTATCCTTCTTGTACAATTAACTTAAATGTTAGTGGTTTACGTAAAATCTTCGCACGCATTGGAAGACTTCTCGGATGACTTTGTAGAAGGTCTAACGCCCTCTCTTTTCGGACACCGAGTTGATGTATTAAACCTTACGTTGGGCACCTGATATATAACTTTTACTCTGGTGCGCCTGATATATCACCATTTCTTTTAAACACGTACAAAATAAATTAACCTTCCTGGAATCTCAGGGATGTGGATTCTTTATAGTATCAGGACTCTCACGCTCATTCAAATCAAACGAGTAAGCCTTTCAAACAAAATGTAATATAATCTATTTTTACCCTTTCTGGCTCATTTACAAATACATAATACACACTGAACATTTCAATGAAATCTTTCTGAAAGTAACAACAATCCTTATAAGCTAACATTCACAGTTCATGTTTTTCAGTGAGTAAGCTTTCTGCTGACATTTGCAAATATGGCATAAAATACTACATTACTTGGATTTCAATTTTACATTACGAGAGAAATATTGATTGGTTCAACAATTATGAATTCACTTTTGAATTATTAGAAGTCCTTTCTAGTATGATTATTGCATTACGTGATCCTACTTGAGTTTCAAATAATTATAGAATCCTCACTGGATCTTCCTTACTTGAATTCGTCTGCAGGTAAACGAGCCGTCGGTTCCGCCTGGCTTTTGTCGCCGTGACCTTCGCCCCGCCTCGCCTCCTGTCGCCCTCGCGTCGGTGCCCAGACCCCTGACGTACGCGGCCGCGGATCCGAGTGTTTCTTTTCCCAGTCACGTAATGTGCAAAGGGGAGATGAAATCGACTAAGTAACGTTGTAATGAAGTGTCTAGTCCACTAACCATACAAAGAAACCCTTATTTGTTGTAACCGCACAAAAAAACTCTTCTGGATTGTAACCATGGAATGAAGAAATGCAACTTGTAATTATAATCATACACGAAGAAAAAAACTGAAAGAAAGAACAAATACGGGTAAATTACAGTAATAGGCGTAATTCACAAGCTCTCTGCTTTCATTACATTACGTTAAATGTTCATCACGCACTCTACCTTCTACATATTTGTTATATTTTCACATATATATTTAAACAAGTAAATGTAGCTGTGAAGAGTTTTTGTTGTCCTTCCATGGGTCGTCCGCGTTTGATTCACATGATTCTTCGTCCTGCTATGCTACGGAACCCGACCTGTCCGTTCGGCTGCTTCGGATTGAAAAAGCGCTTTCCTAGAGCTAGCAATTGCATCGCCTACTAGCTAAACTAGCGTATCCTGTTGTTACCTTGGGACACTATGCGCGCGTCGTTCAAACCTACTTTCCTCGGAATAAGCCACATTTTCCCTTTACAAAAGAAAAACAGGTGGTTATAGTATATACCAGATGTGAGGGAATTTAACGCGTTTTCATCATGTCTTGATCTCAATGTTGCCAGGTTGTTATGTTAGTATTCCGTCAATAAGATGTAATCAACCCTAGATTATGAAAGCATCCGCAAAAATTGTTTGTACTTATTCTTTTTAAGGTGCAAAGTAAATTATCAAACATCTTTTATAAATTGCTATATTTATCCAATATATTAATCCCGCCGAATCCTATTTGCTAATAAGTGGTATTCTAGAATTAGGCGATTTGAAAAGTGTAGAACTGCGCAAGTTCACCATATTTGAAATTTGTCCAGTGCTTTGCCGTACCTAGTGGTGCACATTTCAAGCGCATGCATTGGCTATTTTACGTGCATGTCTGCATGCGCATTATTCCTTAATGAAGTATGTTTATCAAAAATAAATCATGAAATAAGGTATTGTACAATTTTTTTAAAAATATTAATGTTTTTTGTGTAATTTAGAGATGAAATGAAATGGCCGCAGAGAATTTATTTCGTTAGAATTTGTATTTCTTTCAAATATCTTCCTTTAACTTCATATTTCTTTTAAATATCCTTCTCAGTTGTCTTTTAGTGGAGTATTATGGTTATGTTGGGCTTTCTTATAAACACGAAAATATCTGTCTACATTAATGCTTTTAGGTAATTGTGCTACAATTACATACTGTTTTTATTTTTGTTATTTAATTAATTATTATTGAATGTTATTGATTAGAGTAGTTTAACACAGAGGTGACGATCCTCATTGTTATTTGTAATCTTCTTCTTCTTTCCCTTTGTGCCTTTCAGCGACGGCGTCATTATTATTTGAACGGTCCAAACTGTGAATTCAATGACGGAGTTTTCTCAGTGAATCTAATTATAAATAAAGATTAGGATATAACGCATAAGGAAATGCGCGTTTTCTTTATCTCCAGAATCCCTACCTCCTAGACGAGGACAATAACAATCAATTGTGTTATGTTGTATGTTCTCTGTCTATAGGCCGGAGAATGTGGCTCGAGGCGTGCGCCATGTCCTGCAGCACGCGGCAAGCGGCAGCGTGTGGGTGAGCGAGGGCGGCGAGGACATCTACGAAGTCGCCATTCCCAAGCGCCAAGACTTGCGCGTGCCCCGATGATCCCCCCTCCTCTCTCCACACACACACCGTTCTCACGCCTTCTGTGCTTTGATTCTTCGACAACAAATCGACCAGTCGTTGTAGTAATGAAATACTGAATAATACCATGTAAATAGAAATAAAGATGTTGTGGATATGATCAAACATTTTCTGTTATATCTGTGATAGGTTTCGAGTCCAGTGAATGATAGTTCACGCTAGCAAGATAGCTAAGTAGATTTCAACATCTGTCTGTGGGAGAATTCTAGCGACCGACCGCTCTGATCGGTAGTGTTCGTTATTTCTCCGCTCAATATCAGGCGAATGTCGGAGCGGGGCCCGAACGAAAGGACCACGGCGCGCTGGATCTTTCCTTCCTCTCCGTGTCACATCCTTACACACTCACACATACACGCACTACTCTACCTCGCTCAAAATCAATCAGAAGTTGGCTTCATTTATTACATAAACATTTGTTCCATCATCATCATCAGTCGAAAAATTGATGAAAGATCCCCGCCAAATTCTGTTTTCGTTTTTGGATGATACTATCTCAGCGCAGCAGTTCCACCTTTTCGATTTCCTGATTTTGATATCTATCGGTAGAGGGTTTTGATTATTAACCAATAATATTTCGGATATTTAATTAAAAGGTCACATTTCTGTTTTAAGCAAAAAATAAACTAGTAGTACAAAGTACTTTCCTATTCTCATGAGTCAGGGCTAAATTTTCTGTTTTAAGCCATCCTCTGCCCAGCTGCCTATCTATCAGTACCGAAACGATCTACCGGAGTATTTCGCCTTACCTACAACTTATCGGGGCCATTCTTAGTGAAGAGCGCATTGACGCTCTTCCAACATCAATTAGACACATCTATATCTTGTACCTTTACATATTCGCCCATGATTCGCATTCCTTGGAGCCATCTCCGAGCACTTCCTTTGTTCTGAGTGGAGGTATCCTCTTCAATTACACTGACAGTTGTCTATCAGCTCAAGAGATTATTTACGGATTACGATGTAGATGGAATACGCCAGAGACTCTGAATGACTCCCAAGCACCGACCACAGCGTCAGTGCGATTTTTAAGCTGTTTAAGAATACCTATGTGGTGCGAGTTTAATTTTAATTCATTCTGAGGAATTTTGAAAAGGTTAATTCTGTTGCACGTTGATAAATTTCTGCATGACCGTGTTTTTATGAATAAATGATGTAATGAGTCCACCTCACACTGAAATTAATCAACCAGATACACCAAAAGTAGTCAAACCGCAAACACAAGCCGAATATACTCCAACGAATCCAAAGGCTATTATAGTTACAAGATCGCTTAGTTATGCTCGTCTGTTTATAATACCGAGTAAACCTTTATAAAAAAAATTGTTTCAAACAAAAATTGATTTGTTTTTGATTCGATATTCTGTAAGTATATTGGAAGATGCCGATATTAATTTTTTAAACAAATTAACACGTTTCGTTAACCACTTTCCCCCTTCATGGCGAAATGGAGGATAGGAAAAAGGTTGGGGTTTAACACGTGGGAGTTCTCGCACGGGTAAGCTAGTTTCTCTCAAATGACTCATGTCTTTAAAATCAATCCCACCAGAAAAATAAACAATATTGTGAAAGAAATATACGCCTACGCTCTCATTAAATTTCATTTTTAATTCATGTTTTCAAAAAAATTACTTCCCTTCTTGAAGTGTGTTGTCCATAATCATGTATTTTCGTAAATGCGCAGAATTTGAAATTTGATGGGTGAGCGATAAAAACAAACAAATAGATTTTGAAAAAGTTTAAAAAGAACGTTTAGTGTTTAGTAGTTATGTATGGTGTGGTACCATACCAAGTGCATGAGTAATTTAGGTTATGTCACAAACTTGACACAGAAACAAGAATGCCAATATTTACAATCGTTTGAAGCGTGGGCATCCTACTGATACAATTTTTTCTAAGAGTACCGTGAAACTGAAATATGGGAACATGTCGGTATCCATGGTAATTTTGTCGTAGACTTCCTCAGGTCTGGTACGCCCATACATACAGGGCTGGTATGTCCAGAGGAAGACCACGACAAGCTGCTCGAAACGTCGGCAACGCAGCCTTCGACGCCTCGCCGCCCGGACAGTGAAGATCGGGCACATGACTCTGGCCGCGGAAGCCTTTCACTTCAAATTTAAAAAAAGTGGTAAAATAGCGGGCTGGCGAGCTGCATCCTGACTCCAACGTCGTAACAAGCATCGAGATATTATGAATCATGACTTATCCCAGCTTACATGGCAAGTTATTTTGATATAAAATAAATATGTTATATATTTGTATAGTTTTGAAGGGAAAAATAATTCCTAGTGCGTCATAGTTTTGAAGGGAAAAAATAATTCCTAGTGCGTCTTTCGTACAGACTACGTAAATGAATAAAGGGTAATGATGCACTTGGATAACTTCTAGATGTTTGTTTGCATTTGGAGCGTGTTTCCCTTCCATTTTCTTTGTTTTAATAAAAAGTGGATTTTCTAGAAATAGTTATCTGTAGAAAGTACAGTATGCTAAACCAGTTGGACGTGACTCTTTCGTGGCGTATCGGCCACAATGTTATAAATACTATGGGATATTAGTAGGGGGAATTGGCGGGTTTGGGATTAGGAAGTAGATAAGATAAGCCACTTCCAGTCCCAGTCCCCCGACATCCAGTGTCAACAACCGGCGCCACCAATTATAATGGGCCCGACTGCCCCCGCCGAAGGTCAACAGCCGGGGTCAACCCAGCGCCACAATACCCGACCCGCCGATAATCAGGCTTCACTTTCTCAGGTAGCCAGGATTGAAAACATGGATATTATTCCGTGGTATAATATATATTATTCCTTTACCATATTACGGATATTATTACCTTTTTGTTTATCGGTATTTAAATTATATTAGTAGCCAACATAATATTCACAATACCTTCAGTTGGATCACCGTATTTCTGCCGAATTTTCGACAGAAAATCTCTTATTGACGGGCCATGGTAACGAGAAAGAAACGATTAATCCTGTTTCTATATACAGTAAGTTGCTTCTTTTACCACCTGGTACAGCTATTATCCATGATTTGTGTGTTTGTTATATCGAAAAATTGATTGACGGGAAAACGTTTTTCTATTTTTTAAAATATATATTTATTAAGGAACTAATTTACATAATTCAGCATTTTTTATACTGCATCACACGTATTTACTGACTTATATTACCCTTTATTTATACTCTTACAATGTTATCTAACTACGCACGAATGGGAAACACACAGAGCACCTATGGGATTAATTCATTTCTGAAAATATGTTGAGGAATAAATCTAATGGGTATCTATTTTTAATTCTAGTTGGGAGCTGGTTGGTGGTGGCTAGGTCGTAATGGATGGCTTGGAGTATTGGGTTTTTATTTTTGAGAAGAAATTCTTAGATAGCGCAATATGGTAAACTATAGGGGGTAAATTCAATTCTCTGTGCAGTTGAGATAAACCAGGATGCATGAGTGGTACGTCTAAGGAAATACGAAATACGAAATTGAAGAAACCAATTTGATTAGCCTGCACTATCACTTGTTCACAACGAGCAAATACT